GAACTCCTTCTGCACTTTAGGTCGGCCGGACATGCTGAGCATGTTCGGCCGACCCGAAGCCACACGAAGCCACCAGATGTACGGCTGATTTCAGCCGATATACGGCTGAAATCAGCCGTACCAGCCAGAAGTGAATAGCCGGACAGCGTTCGGCTCACTTCGCTTCAGGTCGATCATTCGCTCAGCTGCCTACGGAAGCTTAGTGAATAGACACCATAGTACTATGTGTCCCCAGTTATTTACAAACACTGGAGTGATCAGACGATCACTCCAGTGTTTGTGCTGCACAAGGAGGATCGGTAAATACCAGTGATACATACCGATCCTCCGCTCGGCCACACACACAGCCACTGTCATCCATGATCGAGCAGCAGGCGAGGAGGAGAGCGGAGCCGCTGTCCTCCTGTCAGTTTCAGGACGGCAGTGGTTCCTCCGCCGTCTATTTTTTTTCGGTTCCCCGCTGCCTCAGCCCGTGCAAGCGAGGGAGAGCAGCGGGGATCCGGGCCCCCCCCAGTGCTGCGGGCCCCATAGCGACCGCATCGGTCGCTATGGTGGTAGTTCCGCCACTGTATATATATATTCAGATTATTATGGAAACCCTGTATAATTGCAGAGTTGTGCACTGTAAATGATTCATTTTATATGCCCATTTTGTCTGTGTTAGAGAACATGAATACCATACCAAGAACTGAGTTTAAGATCTACCATTGTAAAAACACAAAATATGAAATTTCTTTTAAATCTTGCTGTGCTATTTCTAGAGAAATGTGACTTAATTTGCATTGTCTGATACAAAACAAATGTTTTTCTCCCCAGAATTCTACTCAAATAACAGCTGCTACAAATTATTTGGAGTCTCAGATGAATGAAGTCATTTCTGATAACTACACTCTAAGTCTTGTGACATATGCGTTGTCATTGGTTGGAAGAAACAAAGCTAAAGAAGGTCTAGACCTTCTAAACAATCGAGCTGAACGTGAAGGTAACTACGCTGCTGCATTACCACTGCCAATCAAACATATGTTTTGCTTTGTACTTTAATACTTTAAATGAATGTCATCCGCAAAACTGACCTGACCACTGGCAACCTAAAATGTTATAGTAATAATGAAAAAATAATTGTAGGGGCTATTTGGATATGCAAAAGAGCTATTTAAAAATGGCACAATATCAGAGGTGTTAATTAACTTATAGATGACAGCCATCATTTATTTACATTAGTCTGCTTACTCCAAACTGTAATGTTTAGTATTTGACATGTGCATTTCCCAGTGTACATATTTATATCATGGTTTTCGTGTTTTCTTCACAAGTAGCATTTTTAAATAATGTGAATAAAGGATGTGTGAATTCAAAAGTGTTCCGCCACCTTAACCCCTTCGCGTCCACTCACGTACTTACGGGTCTATTCACAAAGCTGCCGAGGGCAGCCGAGTGAATGACCGATCAGAAGTGAAGTGAGCCGAACACTGTTCGAGTCATTGACAACACAGCCCTGTAAACAGACTCCTGGTGGCTTTAGCCACTGGGACTCAGTTTACCTTTGTAAAGCCGCCTGCTGGCTTTACAACAGAAGCGATTTTGGCGACTCAGCTGCGGCCAGATCGCTTCCATGTGCATATCCTAAAGTTAATATCCTCAAGTATAAAAACTAAACCTGACTCCTGTTGGACCTCTTTCACACTTGGCACTTTACTTGTTATCCTGAGTATGATCTTAACATCTTAGAGAGTTGCCAGGACCATCTTGTTCATATTCTACTGTGAACCAATCCGAAGGATCAATTGAAGAAATGTCACCAGGATATCAAAAATCCTTTCAGGATAACCATATGTTAATTTATTAAGAACCATGTCAAGTAAAAACAAGTGCTTTCGGGCCACGCAGGGTTCCTTCATCAGGCGTAACATTGACAAATCAGAAGAATATCCCCAAACCACAGTACCACCTTGACCTACTATTTCTCGCAACCAGTAGGCCATTTTTTTCCAAAATCTTCTGACTATATGACTTAAAACTAGCCAAGCTGAATAGCATTTTGGGCATTTTTTTTGCACCAAACGATAATTTAGAATATCTAACAATATGTATGACCTTCATATTACTTTCAGGGCTAGTTCACAACAAGCGCATTCCAGGAGCAGAGCAGTGCAGTTACAAACCGGATCAAAACTGCGTCCAATGTATTCCAATGGTATTTTGGGCTCTAGTTCACACCGCAGCGTTCAGTTCCAGAGCACGTAAAAAAACTGCAGCAAGCCCTATTTTACCTGCTCTGGAACTATCTGCAATGCATGCAAACTCTTGAAAGCCCATTATTTTTTACCAAAAACGGCCCGGATCGCATCAAAAACACGGCAAAAAATGCGGTATAAGACACCGCACTGCGTGTGCAGAAACTCATGCAGGTCTGGTCTGCATTTGGTGTGAACAAGCCCTTAATTAAATCTCTCAGATCAGTGCACATAATTGTTCTTACTACTTCCTTATATAACATTCTTCAAAGTGAAGGTTGTTAATAGAACAGTACTTGCTGGCTACAATGTATGGGCAGGAACTCAGCTTTTTCATATGTCTTTCTTTTGTTTCTGCAAATTTCTGCAATACTTCAGCTTTGATAAATAAAATGTGTTCATATCTACAATAGATCTGTATTTTAGTAACTTTGTCCCATTTACAATGAAAAAAGAATAATGTTCTTGGGGGCATTACAGACCCATGTTGCCATGCCGCTGGTTCCTAATGAAGAATGTATTCTCTATTATTGTACTTTAACCCTTTCACTGCCAAAGTATTTCTTTTTCACACATGTTAAAATGTGCATTTTAGGCATGAAAATTACATTAAACTCCCAAAAAGTATATATTTCCTGAAAGCAAAGACCCTGTAGAATAAAGTGGTGACAATTGCAATGTCACATGATATTAGCACAATCCAAACTTTCAGTACAAATACAAGTTAATTAAATAAGTTAATTTTAGTGCACAGAAACCCAATTTATTACTAGCGATGTTCATATACCAAGTACCGTACTCGGTACAAGTACAAGTACATGTGCAGATACTTTTCCAGCTCCAAGACTAGACTAGAGAAAAACTCCAAAGTTAGGAGGCAGCTGTCATGTGTAAGGAGCATACAGAGCTCCTGGGATTTGTGCATCCCTGTTTTAATGTATGTATTTTTTATAAATAAATATAAGGGATGCACATATACCATTTTTTCAAGTACAAGTACTGATACTTGTCCAAGTACCCACAGGTACAAGTACTGATACATTTTTGTTTATTGTCATGTGACAGTTTTTCTAACATGATACAGACTAATGATTTCAGGACAGTGGTGGCGCCACAGCTATGTCCCAGCTGCAACCACTGCAACCCTGGTAGTTCTCGTGAAAATGCCAAGTATCGGCACTGATATCTGAACTGGTATCTGAACATCTCTATATAGTTTATGAATTAATTGTTTATTAACAATTAATTGCATGCGATTGTGAAATGGCAATAAACTATGGTGACCAAAATTGTCTATAGGCAATGATTTTTAAGCTTTTGCAGGTCATCAGTTTAGAGTTAACCATGTATAACAGCCCTAGAATCATTGCTCTCACTCTTCTGTGCATGTCAATACTTAACGTGTGTTGCACAATTGTAAGTTTTTTACATAGGCATGAACAACGCGTGTTTGCAATAGTATGTGTGTATACGGGGGACTTTAAACATTTTTGGTTTTGTTTTTAAATTTATTTTGTTTAGCTTTATTTAAAAACATTTTTTTTACTTAACTTTATTGCTATCACATGTCCACTATGTCATAACATTTTAGTGGGGACAGGTTCTCTTTAAGCAAACATTAGAGGTCTGTTAGATTAGAGATATTAATGTCACTGTTACAGCCCATTGAGGCTGATCAACCACAGATCGGGATTGATCAGCTTCTTTCCTGGCCTCTCTGGCTGGGAAATGACAGCTGAGAAACCAGAAGTGACAAAATCATGATGGCTTACAGGTTTATTCAGCAGACGGGATATCAGTGAATGCATGTTCTCTGGTCTTTCCCACCTCTCTCCACGGACACCCGCGATGCTGGACTGGGGCCGCAGGAAGGGCAGCAGAGCCCAGAAAACATGGCTGGGGGTTTCAGGTGGGGGCACGCATTTCAGAACCCAAAGAAGTGATCAATTGGCTGTGAATCACTTCCAATGTAAAAACGACAGAGTCAGCTTACAGGGCTCCACTGACGCAGATGTATGCCATACATTGGCAGCAGTGAAAGGGTTAAAGCTGAAATTTAGTTTATGCATATAATACCTTTCCATGTTCTCCCCTTCTCCCTTATCAACATGCAACATCTTTTCCAATCAAAAGATTTTGTTATACCTATAGAAAACCTGTTTTAAGACATAGGGGTCTATTCACGAAGCAGCCGAAGGATCCAGCCGTAGTTTTGGCCGATCCTTCGGCTAGCTTCGGCCCAGGAGCCCTTCGGTTCAGTAGAACCGAAGGGCTGCTGTACGGGCTATTCACTATAGTCCGTACAGCCCCCGAAGTTGGCCGGGCAGCTCAGCCATGGGCCAGCCGACAGCCTGCTTCCAACAGCTGGGCGGAGCCAGCCGTGATCTTACGGCTGGCTCCGGCCACTTGCAGAGAGATCAGCGTCCCTGGTTACCAGCTAACCAGGCACACTGTTCTCCAGACAGCCTAACTCTCCTGGGCGCTCCGGGAGTCTCCTGCTCCCAGCCGCCCAGGAGAGAAGCACTGCTTTGGCCGTTGGCTGGTGTCAGAATAAAAAAAAAATATTTTTCATCATAGGAATGCCTTGGTAGATTCCTATTGCCTATTTCAATTTGCAATAGCCAATAGCAAACTAGCTATTGCACCCGCCCACTGCTGCAGTTCTCCATCAGGTCCCCACTAGTGCTTGACAGCAGCAGAGGGCGGGCACAATAGCTAGTTTGCTATTGGCTATGGCAAATGAAAATAGCCAATAGGAATCTAGCAATGCATTCCTATGGCGAAAATGTTTTTTTTTTTCTTTTTCGTTTTCTATTTAGAAAACAATCGTTTTCTATTTATTTTTTTCTACTTTTTTAACTATTTTTCTGTTCTGCTCGGTCCCACAGAGCGACCGAGTAGAACAGCAGAGCCGAATGCTGCTCAGCTGAATGCCGCTCACTGCTGTTCTGCATCTATAAGAATAGACCGAACAGCAGCGAGTAGCCTGCCGGAGGCTTAGCCGATCCAGTCGAACTCCTTCTGCACTTTGGGTCGGCCGAACATGCTGAGCTTGTTCGGCCGACCCGAAGCCATGCGAAGCCACTCGATGTACGGCTGATTTCAGCCGATATACGGCTGAAATCAGCCGTACCAGGCTGAAGTGAATAGCCGAACAGCGTTCGGCTCACTTCGCTTTAGTTCGGTCATTCACTCGGCAGCTTAGTGAATAGACCCCATAGTGATGTCATCATTGGTTCTGTCTGCTGCTCCTGGTTCTGAGTTTTTTTAGGGAAGGGCCATCATGCTCTTGAAACATAACTGCTTTCTTCACAATCTTCTTCAAAATAATTATATGAAACAAACCCATTCCTGGGATCCCTTTACATGTGCCTGCTCCTCACTGCTGGCCACTGGGTACTGCAAACGTTTGATTGATTGATTGATTTATTAATTGATTGATTGACTGGTTGCAGGCACATCTAAAGCGATGCTGGGAATGTGTTCTTTTACATAAATCTCATGAGCAAAATATATGGTGGCAGAGAAAGCTAATAGCTGTGAGAGGGTCAACGATGGCAGGGATCGGGGGGAGAAGTGACTGATGAATGTGGAGGTTGCCCAGACAGGAAATTAAGCTGGGATCAAAACAGCTGCTGCAGATTCAGAGAGTTATATTATGGAGATGCAAGTTTACAGGGCATTGAGAGTATTCAGTTTCAGTACAGCAGAATACTTGCTATGAGTGTAGGATAAAATTCAAGGCTGGAGTTCAGCTTTAAGTTGTGCATTAACATTGAGCATATTATTTTCCTACAGGTGATTTACGTTTCTGGAAATCTGATGTCCAAACAGTTTCTGGATGGTGGCAGCCAAGCTCTATAGATATAGAAACAACATCTTATGTTCTATTGTCCCATGTGATTCAAAATCAAATGGCTGAGGGGATAGCAGTGATGAAATGGTTAAGCCAGCAGAGAAACTCCCTAGGAGGATTTTCTTCCACTCAGGTTTGTTATAGTCACATATAATCAACACAGTGAGCTTGCTTGTATAGAACTTTCCTGGTACAGTATTCACTGGGCAGATGCCCAGATTTTTAGTTTAAAAGATAATCTAGGAAACAGCTGTTTTCCTATTGGATTCAATATAAAGAAATCTAGCACAAATATTGGTAGGTTGTTTTTAAGCATTTTTACAAAAAAAGTTTAAAAGAATTTGAAAAAATATGCAATTAATGTTTACTTTGCTTACATTGTGTTTTTAAACAGGATACCATAGTAGCTTTGCAAGCAATGTCACTATTTGCATCTAGGTATTCTATCAACAAACCATCCTTACACATATCAGTGGAGGGAGACCAGATGGCTTCTACAAGTTTCACAGTCAATTCCGGAAACCGGATGTTGCTTCAAACTAAACCGGTAATGTTCATTATTCTTGACTGGTTGCTTGAGCTGTCAAATTTGAAAAGAATCAAATGGAAGACTGCATTAGATCATTTTCAGTATGTAACCATGAGTTAAAAGAGAACTATAGTCAAACCTTTTTGTTGGCTTTTAGTTCTCTTTTAGGCCACAGGAGTACATTTACTAATTAACTCCTGTGACCCAAAGTCAGCATAGGCTGACAGGCAGAGCCATGCTGTAGTCAAGAAGGGTTCCAACAATATTGTTGGGATCCACCCTGCTGCCTGATTGACAGCTAGTTCTGTCTCTCAAGAGCCATGGCCAGCTGTGCCCGCCACCTCCCCTATCTGTCCCTCCAATAAGTGCTGGAGGAACAGAGAGAGGGGAGGAGGGAATCCCTGCAGGGAGCAGTGACTGACAGTCACTGCTCTCTGCAGGGAGAAGCCATGAGCTGAGTGATCAGCAGTATGTGATTGAGCCATAGTGCCAGCTTGTGACAGCTGCAGTGTCACATGACGGCTCAAACTATTGGGGATAGTACATTTTACTCTTCCAATAAATCTCCTTTAAAGCACAGCTAAAGGCTGTATGATAGCCTAAACAAATACCAAATCTGGCTAGTAAGTGATGCACAAACTTCATAAAGTAAAGAAAAAACTTCCTTTACCTTCCCTAACTAAGCCCTAATTCCCTTTCATTTGTGTCTCACACCCTACCCATCCCAGTCACTGCAGTTCACAGTGGGAGGGTTTCAGTAGCAGTGCTATCAATCCAGAAAGCAGTGGGCAGGACCGAGTGTTTCCAGGTGCTGACTGCCAAGCTACAGGCTTGTGAATCATCAGTGACATTTCTAAAAGCCATGCCCCCATAACATTTGTTCATCCCACTGTAGTGTAAGAAGGCACAGTCTACATGAAAGTGTAACTCTGCTCTGAATTCAGTAGCAGCGCAGTACCGTTGCCACACCATCACAGGCTGCATTAGGTGACATCATTGGCAGGTTCAACAGGTATTTGTGGGATTTTGCAAGGGGACAAGAAGAAAACTTGAGCACATATTTTTTTAATGGAAGGTCTTAGTTCTACTTCAATGGTGATGAAATCAAAATAGTTTTTGGGATTATTTAGATTAAAGTTTCCTAATAGTTTGTTTATTATCATATGCAGTGCTAGTCACACATGACATTGTAGTCGTTTAAACTGTAGAACAGAATGTTAGTATTAAAGACATCAGAATATTGAAAAGCAATATTGCTGATAAAACATATGAATAAATCTTACACTGCACTTGGGTAGCCTCATGTTTAAAATATATAGTCATTCTGTCATGTATAGCATTCAGAAGGATTTATCCACAATTTCACCCTTTTCACTTACATTTTTTGTGTGTGGCAAAGTAAAACAAAAAAACATAAATATAATATTCATAATAAAAACACTGCACATGCCCACAAGCACACACATTAAAGAGTCAGTCCACAACTCATCCGTGTGCTAAAATAGGATACGATAGAAAAGAAATATCTGTTGAACTCGATGGACTTGTGTCTTCTTTCAACCTGACTAACTATGTAACTATGTAAAACACTGCATGTAACAATGAGCAATATAACAATGCATGCCGGTGAGAAGTATACCTAGAGTACTATGTGTTGCAGAAAGGTATCAGGCACTGAATGCAAAATAGAGTTATGCGGAACTGTAGGTAATATAAAGGTATGAGACACTGTGTATAGTAGAGATGTATGAGGCAGTGCATGTAATACAAAGGTATCTGTTTTATAGAGAAGTATGAGCGATATGTATGATTTTTGAATATGTGATTCTCCTGGCCTGGAGATAATCCAGCTCCATGCTTACATCAAATGTGTATTTTTTCTTGGCAGAAGGAAGTGACATCACAACAACTTTTTGTCATCCTGAGTAAAGTAGAATAGGATTGGTACAATATATATACTGTGTGTGTGTGTGTGTATATATATATATATATATAGATAGATATAGATACGTCTATATCTATCTATATCTATAAATATATATATATATCAAGGAGGATAGGATTCGCTGGAATATGTTCTGTATGGGGAGGGGGGCAACCACTGGACTCTATTGGGGATACCTGAAGCTTTATTAAATATACCGTATATAAAAACCTAGTAAGTGCATGTAGACATGGTTGGTATGAAATGTTATTATGTTTAAAGAGAAGCATTATTTAAACCAAATGTCTCATTTCAGATAACTGCTGGAGAAAACATCAATCTTACAGTTAATGCAAAGGGTGTCGGCTTTGCCTTGTTGCAGGTACTTTTTTTCTCATATCGATTATTAAGCCCTTTTTAAAAAATTAAGACAACAACTTTTTGCTGTTTTTGTAGACTTGAGATTTTTTAACCTAAAAACCCTATGCATTTGGATAACACAATATTAAACATTCTCTTAGTGGGCAATTCTGTTCATTTGAAAAATTATCATTGATTTCTAAGCCGAACCTTTGTACAGATAAAAAATGCAATATACCTGAGCTTATTTATGAAGGAACAGAGCAACATATAAAGGTTAGCAATAAACAACAGCCAAACATAAATAATTTGCTTTACTGATAGATAAAATATGGTTACTATAGGTTGCTACACCATGCACAATGCACTTTGAATGTTCCAGTTTACAATATTTTGTTACTGTAAACCTCTTGTCTAAATAGAGTAACTGATTCAATACAAAATATTTAAATTCTTGAAATACAAACACACCGCACTTCTTGTACACCAGCCCTCAGCAGAACATTTTAGTTGTACATTTTGTTTATAGAATTGAGAGTGTGAAATGTCACTTTATACACCTAACTGCATAGTGGTCTTGTCTACTTTATTTACCTCCTTGCAGAATAAAAAACACAGGGGAACTTGAACAGACAAAATCTGGAGCAGTTGCTCATGGCAATTAATTAGCTTCTATCTTTCATTTTCAAAGTCTAGCTGAACAAACTCAAAGCTAATTGGTTACTATGGGCAACTTCCCAATTTCTGTCTGCTCCAGTTTTGATAAATTCCCACCAGGAATTTAGGACTGAACCAAAGAGAATTATTTTTTTTTTGTTTTGTTTAAGGGCCCATTTACACCCCATTTATGTTGACTAAAGTAAAATAGGCATCTCATTTGCAGTGGAAATTTCCCTTAGCTTAGTGAATACCCAATCACGTGCAAGGAAAATAACAAAAAACATATTTTTGCTTGCACATGATTGAATGATGGAAGTCAGCAGAGCTTCACCCAGTTTCAGCAAACTAAGTGAAAATTCCCTTGCAAAGTGAACAGCCTATTAGCCTTTAGTAAATCAAACCTTATATATTGCGTTAATGCATGTGCATCAATGTAACTTATCATCATGCATTAAGGCATGCTGTCTTAAGGGAGCACATCTGAACAAACAAACAAGCAGACATGACCCTTTGTTTTAAAGCAGTGCAACCCTACACACTGCTGCATTTTTCACTATTGTAGTATTGAGTTGGGTTACCATTCACAAAGAATAGTGCTACAATACAACAAATTTTGGTTAATGTGTTAATGTGCATTAGTTAGTTATTAACTTAGCTAGCTAGATAGTAATTTTTTTCAGGGGAGCTTTCTAGAACTATAAAATAAAAGATCAATAGCATGCTGTACACAAAGGGGTCTATTCACAAAGCAGCCGAAGGATCTAGCCGTAGCTTCGTAGCTTTCTGTTCTGTTCGGTCCCTCAGAGGGACCGAGCAGAACAGCCGGCTATTCACTCACTGCTGTTCGGCATCTATAAGAATAGACCGAACAGCAGCGAGTAGCCTGCCGGCTAGAAGCTGGTATAGAAAATCACTCAAAATACAGGTATTCACTAGTATTCATTGGGATACTTTTGCAAAGATTATATATCAAAAGTAGACACAAGTTCTGGGACAGTTATGCAAAGTTTATAGATAATAATAGATATAGAAATAAGCAAAGACAAATGAACACTAACAAAGACAGTGTTCATTAGGCCTTAGTGTATTTGGTTTTATTTAATTGTTGTATATTATATTATATGGTTGCTGTTGATTAAAGTATAGATACTGCGCAAACTGTTGGCGGTATATAAATCCTGTATAATAATAATAATAGCAGAATACTTTAAACTGATGGATATATTTTCTTTCATTTTAGCTTCACGTCATCTATAATGTGCATCCGGTTTCCTCCAGGGCACGTAGATCCACAGATAATAAAGATCCTTTTAGTTTAGGAATCACAGTACATGATGACGAAGAAAACACTAATACTTTAACACTGAATGTATGCACAAGGTATGTAAATATTTTCAAAACATTGAAGTCATACTGCTGTTCGATAATAATGTCTAGCAAAACGTTATCGTTAATGATTTAACTATTGGCTGTACACAAAAAGCATGACCAACAAGAATAAAACTTTTATCCAGATCTAAGCCACTGAACCCAACTTTGAGGAATGCAAATTTATCATAAAATGGGTTATGAACTGCCCACAAGGCAAACAAATTACTTTAGGTTTCAAAATGGCAGTTTATGTATTCCATGATGGGGTAATTTTGAAACTAGCCCAGGTTTCTCTGCTGTATTTGAGAGCTCTTAACACCTGCTCATTGTACAATATAATTTAGAGTGAGCATAAGGTAGCCAAGCGTAGAATCAAAATCTGTTCATTATTATTTGCCTGGGAAATGACATGATTTCTGTTCTAGCTCACTGTCTCTTGAATGCATCACACTTCTTTGATCCAATTATATTCAGAAGAGTAACTCTGTCATAAATTTCTAGGCTGTATTGTATATCATAAAGTGGTGTTGGGAAAATCTTGGAACATTTTGTCTAATTCCTATGATTTTTTTTGTGCCAGGTAAAATGAGCACAAAACACAAAAACTGATTTAGTCATGAGTCTAAAAATACCATTCAGTCAGCCAAAGAACTGAAGTTGTTATGTAAGGTTCCATGGATAGGTTGGGATAATTACCTGATAATAACTGGTCAAAGGCACATAGCATGAGGTCATGTACATTTCAGAGCTGGTTAAATTATAATGGGGGAATTCTTCTGCATGTTCTCCTTTACCACTTGAAGACCGGGGTGTTTACACCCTCTTCCTGTCCAGGCCATTTTTCAGTATTCAGTGCTGCAGTACTTTGACTGACGTTTATTCGGTCATGCAACGCCATACTGAAATTATTTTTCTATCATTTTTTGGGGACACATAGAGCTTTCTTTTGGTTGTATTTTTAGAATTTACTATATAACGAAAAAAGTCCTGAAAATTTAAAACAAAAAGCTGTTTTTCCTTTATTATGTCATGAAACATTAATTATTACCCAATTTTTTGGTAAAATATAAAAGATGGGGTCATATTGGTTAAATAGTAAAACAGCAAAACAGCATCAATTCATTACCAGCTTTACAGCAAGGTGCACACGGAAGGGCTTCAAACAGTAAAACAGCAATCAATTCATTACCAGCTGTTTTACTGTTTGAAGCCCTTCCGTGTGCACCTTGCTGTACAGCTGGTAATGAATTGATAAGTGCGTTTGCCATTTGTTTTGCTATATTGGTTAAATAGACACCAAACACATCAAGCCTTAAAATTGCGTACACCCACATAATCGCGAAAAACTACCACACCCAAAATTGGCCATGGGCCACGCTTTAAAAGCTTTTACCACTATCAATTCATTGTTAACAGTCATTGATGGCCTAAAATTATTGCTCACACTCTGACGTTTGCGGTGATATGTAACATGTGCAGCGTAATGACAGTGACAGGTCCTCTTTATGGAGACATCAGGGGTCTCTAAGACCCATAATGTCACCTAGGGACCCTCAAAGAAGCTGATGAAGCAGAGATTTTCTTTACCTGCATCTATGCAACTTCTGTAGCCAGAGAGTGACAGCTGAATGTGGAAGTAACGTAATAAACATCACTTCCGCACTCACAACACCGGAGGGCAGATTAGAAGGAGATCATGTAATGATCTCCCTCCATTCTCCTTGCACAATGCCTGTTCTGGGCCCGCACAGGGAGCATGGGATCACGGCAATGGTGGCGGTGGTGGGGGGGTCGCATGAAGGCACAACATACAAGCAATAGGGCGTCTCTACAAACACCGGACCACTTGTATGTAAACAGCCCTCACTGGCTGTTTCAAATGTTGACAGATTCTGACTCGTGCACGCCAGGTGGTGCCCACGAGTGGGCGTAGGCACAAAGGACCTTTTAAGACGCCCACCCGCATCTACAAGACCCCTCTACCGCCCTTTTGCTACGTTCGGCGGATGGGAGGGGGTTAAACATAGTCTCCTACACCCTCCAACAATAGACATCAGATGCTATATTGCCCAACTCACCACTGTGCCACTCAGCATTTACATCCAGTTATCCCCCTGTGCCTGTACTGCACCATTTTTCTCTTACATTTATCTATAAAGAGCCAGTATTGTAAGCACCATGGGGAAAATTGTATGTAAGCAAGTTCTGGAGAACTGGGCACTGTAAAGCTGGTCCATGCTGCATCTAAGGTCTGTCTTTGGGTATAATGTACTTTTAACAAATGGACACCATAAACATGGCTAGCAATCTCCTGCTCTGCCTGCAATGCATTGCCCCTCTATGTATACAGAAACCAGCTAGGCAGGAAACTGTTCAGCCAGTGACTTTATAATGACAGTAGCCAGTTGTCTCAGTTCTTTTACTAACTCATTATTTCCTAAAACTCCACACTATATGTGAATGCCATTTAGGACTGTCATGTGGAAACAATTGAATTTCAGTTGATCAATTGAATGCTAGTGATCCTTGGGATAATAATAGCAATCATTATATACATGATTATAACGTTGATGAGGGAAAGCTATTTTTCCCTTGGGAGAAAACAGTGTTTGATGTGGAGCTACAGCTATAGCAATTTTATAAAATAAAAGTGTAGAAGGTCAGCTTCTGAAACAAGTAGAGAAGGATAGTTTCAGATTAATTAAAACAAGGATAATATTCAGTACATAGTGGTAAAGATTCCATTAGGTTCACAAAAAGCCTCTTAGTTACCGGTGTAATTTGGCAACACAGTCTCCCATGACTCACAGTTAAAGGGGCTGAGGATGTGAATGGGATGAAATCTGTAGTCCAGGGCCCAGCCTAGGCAGATCAGGTGGCTGAAAGTAGCCTTATTAGGAGTTTGGACCAGAGCTCAGGGAAGTTGTGGATGTACAAAGCCACAGGCAGAATCTGCTGCATACTCAAGCTCTTGTGGAACAGCCGGGGAGGGCTGGGAGAGGTTGAAAGGGTCGGTGACACCCAAGGGACCGGTTGGACAGACTGAAAGAGAGTCAGTGACCCACGAGGGTTGGGCAGTTGTAAGGATCACACAGGTGTTTGGTGAGACGTTTAGAGCTGAGCGATACTGAGGACTGTATATGTGGAGAAAAACACTAAAGTCCTGAGACTAAGGGGTCTATTCACAAAGCTGCCGAGGGCAGCCGAGTGAATGACCGATCAGAAGTGAAGTGAGCCGAACACTGTTCGGCTATTCACTTCAGGCTGGTACGGCTGATTTCAGCCGTATATCGGCTGAAAAGGAGTGTACTGGACAACCTGATGTCAGTTAGACAAAAAATTGTTGTTTTTGATGAAAGTCAAGTTATGTTTCTTTATGCTGAAGAAAAACTGATTATTTGAAGTACACGGACTGGCGACCATTGCGTGAATAAAGACTGTCCTTTAATGTTAAAGAATATAAATCTATATATATAAAATTAAAAAATACTTTTTGAAGTATTGGCCTTTCCTAAATACACAACCTTAAAGGGTATTTAAACCCCAACAATATACTTCTCTTATTTGCTCCCTTTGGGTCTGTTAAATATACAATTAAGTGTTTTGTTGTGCCTGTTTGATAAGTGCAAAAATACCTATTAATCCTGCCAGAAACCAGAAAAAACTTGCTGTGCTGCATTCTTTTGGCTAAGCTCCACTCTTGCTCAATGAGAGTCCAATGAGAGTCAGTGGGAACAATGTCCAACTTCTGCTCTCACACAGAGTCTGCAGCATGTGGCTTGGATTTTTAGCTGCTACTTGGAGCAATTTGACTACTAAGCACAGTCAGAAAATGACATGTAGGGCTCGTTCACACCACTTCAGTTTAACTCCATTGATCTGTCCAGATCTGCACATGCTCAACACCAGGAGCACATAGAAAGCAATTGTTTTCTATTTGCCCTGTTCACACCACAGTGCTGCTTCAAAGTTTGTTGCAGTGTGTTACATAAAAATGCAGACGATTGCATTTTCTTGTAATGCACACTGCAGCTCAGTTGCAATGCATAGAAATAACTAAAAATGCACTTTTTGCACTGTAACAACACAAGGCACAAGGCCCATACTGCGACTACACAGCAGACACCAGCCCACACCAATTTAATGTGTGGGCTCCTGGGAACGATACCTTAACCTTGCGTACATTCCACCTTTCTGCACACTGTGTAAAGTATCTATCTGCTTTTTGTTTAAGCCTTTATTGGGCGTATACGCGCATACGTGCGTATTGTACCATATGCAACATATGCGAATAAATGGCTCCATACACACAACCGCGTATGGAGCCATATATTTGCGTAGCGTATATATATGCGCAAAAACAGAATGTAACAGAGATGCGTCCGGGCAGCGTATTTCTGCGTATTTACGCGCATATACGCATGCTTAAGTGCATATACACGCGTACATGCGTACAGCACATTAAAAATTCTATTACGAGTGATGCATTCTGGGATTGCATATAGTGCACGCATATACGCATATACGCTCGTATATACGCGCATAGACGCGTATATACGCAATATACAATTTTGCTTGCGTTGTGTGTGAATGAGGCCTAAAAGTAAATAAAACAAACCATCAGATACAAGTGATATTTGTCATCAGGTCGCTCCTTGTCTTTCCATTAGCTTGTACATGGTTTAATGTTAGTTCAGCTATGCTTACTGATCATGTATTTTGTGTTTCTGCAAATATAAAAAAACTTTGGTTGTAGGAGAATATAAAATGTAGTTATGGTCTGTATTTCAACCTAAATTATAATTGTGTAACTAGTGAAAAACTGAACATAGTTGCCAAGTAGCTAAAAAAAAAAAAAATTTTAACTGTTGACTATGGGGTCTATTCACAAAGCTGCCGAGGGCAGCCGAGTGAATGACCGATCAGAAGTGAAGATTCTCACTTTTTAAAAATAATTTTATTATTTCGTACAGCAATTTTTTAAATAATATATTCATGCCCTTGCATTG